TGAGAGGCAGCAATTCCTCACAAGATGTGTGGTTATGAAAAATAATTCCCCTGGAACGTGACAGATTCCCAAGGTAACTGAACAAAGAGTTAACTGATGGCTCTTAAACATGAAAGACCTTCAACTGCTGTCAGAATATTTAAAGAACATACCACTGCAATGCTCAACTTACTCATCTTCAACAACTTGTTTTGATCCGAGACAGGATGCTGCAGTAGGTAGATATTTAAGTCTGATTCAGTTCAGCTGTTCTTATGAGCAGCTATCAGGTTTATTTCAGTTCAGAAAAGCTAGATTGTATATTCAGCTTATTTTTTTTTACATAAGAATTTGGCAAAAAGATGTAGTTTGCAGATGTTTGTACTAGTAGCCCTATACCGTGCACTTTAACAAATTAATGCCCAAGAGCAACATGGCCTATGAGAGAGTTTTAAGAGCTACCCCTCAGCTGACATGAACAAGGTCCTGCCAGAATAAGGCAGAGCTCAGTACTTTAAGTGACCAAGGACAAGGCAGAGGGAGGAATGACAAATAGTTACTGACAGAATTTCTAGATGACAAACTAGGGGAGTATTAAGCGATTAAAAAGATAAAAATCCTTTGTCCTGAGTCAACTGTTCCATGCCCTAATTATGCAAAAAGCAAAAGATTCCAGATTTCTAGTCATATCTTCAACATAGTGAATACAGATTAAAAATCCAAATACAGGATTTTCTTTTCCTGTTTTGAATAATGCACTTTGCTGTGCCCCAGATTTCACAACTTTGCACAAATACTACAGTGTGCACTTGTGTCAGTCTCGTGAGCTCAGCAAGAAGAGAGATCCTGCCTCCCCTTTCCCAGAGAGAAACAAACACCAGGTTACAAAGCATCATGTAAAAACTGATCCCAGCCAGGCAGGCTTGTGTATTTATCTCCCAATATAAGAAGTCAAACCTTTTCCTCCCAAAGGAGCATCAACTGCAACCTGAAACATACTGTGCATGCAAGACTCTCTGTGGTGTCCTACCTCCAACAAGCAGGATGGCAATTCCAGCTGCTTCTTGTATTCTCTTCTGCTACCCAAAAGTCTCAGAAGATGTCCCTTGCCCTCTCCAATTAGATAATTGCCAATTTTCCCCAATAAATCAGTTCACCAGCATTCTTTGCTACTGTGGAAGTGGATCAAGCGAAGCTTGGGCAGCAGGTCGAGGAAAGTGATTCTCCCCCTGTACTTGGCTCTCATAAGGCCCAATCTGGAGTACTGTGTCCAGTTCTGGAGCCACCAACACAAGAGAGACATGGACCAGTTAGAATGAGTCCAGAGAAGGGCCACCAGGATGATCCAAGGGCTGGAGCAGCTCTGCTGTGAGGACAGGCTGAGAGAGTTGGGGCTGTTCAGCCTGGAGAAGAGAAGGCTCCGGGGAGATCTTATAGCGGCCTCCCAGTACCTGAAGGTGCTACAAGAAAGCTGCGTCAGGACTTTTTACAGAGGCAGGGAGTGACAAAACAAGGGGAAATGGGTTTAAGTTGAAAGAGGGGAGGTTTAGATGAGATATTAGGAAGAAGTTCTTCACTGTGAGGGTGGTGAGACACTGGAACAGGTTGCCCAGAGAAGCTGTGGCTGCTCCTCCCTGGAAGTGTTGAAGGCCAGGCTGGATGAGGCTTTGAGCAACCTGGTCTAGTGGAAGGTGTCCCTGCTGCTGGCAGGGGGGTTGGAACTGGATGAGCTTTAAGGTCCCTTCCAACCCAAACCATTCTGTGATTCTATGATCTCTTCTGTCAGAGCCACATTCTTTGGACAGAGTGGCCTGGTAATCTGGTACCATTTGAAACAGCGAGAGTGCAGTGGGAAGTGAATCATGTTTTGAGTACAACTACTGATTCTACCAGACCCAAGAACATGATTTTTTCTGTCTCCTGCTCTTAATCTTCCCTGCAGGCTGGTCTCCTCTTCCTAGGGTGTGCTACAGTATCACACTAGCTTAACTGCTGCAGCAGAGTCCTGAAAAACTCTCCTAAGAGAGGCCAACAAGGTGGAGCTGAACTACAGTTTCTTCAATCAAAAACACAAAACAAACACCAACCACTTTTCACTGGAAGAGCTGCAAGACTATATTTGTCCTTAAAAACTTCTTTGATCAGAAACCCAGAAATCCGTCAAATCACAATACAAAAACAAAAGCTGTGAACAGTTAGAGCAGGAAGAGCTCGGTTAGCA